GGGATTGAACTCACAACCTAGGTATGTGCTCTGAGAATCAAACCTGCAGTCTTTTGGTGTATGAGACAACACTCTAACCAACTGAGCCACCCAGTCAGGGCTATATAACCAGTCTATTTTTTTTTGTTGTTAATGCTTACCCTAGGATATTTTTTTCCATTGATTTTTAGAGAGAATGGAATGGGTGGAGGAGAGAGAGAGAGAGAGAGAGAGAGACAACAACTGGTGTCCCCCCACCCCTCCCTACCCTTGCATGTACTCTGCCCTGGGCTGGGGATGGAACCAGCAACTCAGGTAGGTGCCCTTGACCAGTAATCGAATCCGAGACCCTTCAGTGGGTGGGCCGATGCTCCAACGCTGAGTCACACTGGCCAGGGCACCAGTCTGTTTTTAAGGTATAAATCAGATCTTATGTCTCTTATACTTAAAATTTCTAATGGCTTCTTATGGCAACCAGAGTAAAATCTAAATTCTTACCTCAACTCTCTGGCTTATGCCATTTCCCTATCTCCTTCTACTCTCCTTTTTTCACTTCCCTCCAGCCATCCTGGCAATCTTTTTGTCCTACAAATAAGTTTAAAATCTCTGAATCTCAGTTTCCTAATTTATAAAATGGAAACAAATATTTGTTTTGGCAGGACTATTGCCAAGTATTGAGCAAAACTACATGTAAAAACATATAAACAAACACCTGCTAAGTGTTATATACATGTGGTCTGATGGTACTAATTTTTATTTTTCAATCCTTATTCTTTTAAAAATTTTCTTGCCTTAGTTAATGGGTTAGGACCCAGTATAATATTGAAGTGGGCATAGCAGTATCCTTGTGTAGTTCCTGATTAAGCATTAATTTTTAATATTTTACTTTCTAAAAATCAGATTAAGGAAATTAAGTTTATGGTATTGTTTCCAGTGATATTTAGGAATATAATAACTTCTGGGAGATAGTAAGAAGTTTAAAACAAATGTGCTCTCTGACCTCATGGAACTAACAAATAGTGAGAAATATAAGAAACCTTATTTTAAAATGAGTCCTTGGAAACACTTTTCAAAGGAAATCAAATGTGTGAATTTAAAAAAAAATTAAATATATTTTTATTTCACCGAATGTTGAGTTTGCTATATATGTTTTTCTTCCCCTCTCATTCTAATGTATAAGTATTTTTAACTTACAAATAGGTACATCAGGTCATGATTATTTTATAAAAGGATTTTTGCTTTAAAATTTTATTTTAGGGATCCTTTCATTTAAAAAATTTTATTCATTTGAATAGGTATGGCATGTGCATTTAAAATAGATTTTTAAGAGATCGTCTTGTAGTCTTACACATTTTTTTTTTTTTTTTTACTATAAAGTCAGGTACCATATATATTTTTAAGCCTGAAAGCTATTTGTCATGTTCTTGCTTTTTTCTTTCTTTATTAGTTTTATTTCCTTTGTTTTACAAGTTGGACCTAGTATAGATTGAATTAAGGGTTGGCAAACACAGTCTCTGAGCCAAATCATTGTGTAGCTCATAATCTAGGAATGGTTTTAACAGTTTAAATCATTGAAAAAAATTCAAAAGAATAATATTTTGTAGCACGTTGAATTTGTAAGAAATTCAAATTTCTGTTTTTATTGGAACATAGCCATGCCCATTCATTTGTCTTGTGTATAGCTGCTTTCATTCTATAATGGCAGAATTGAGTAGTTGTGACAGACTGTATGTGGTGCTCTCTATACTGCAGACTGTTGCAGCATGTATGACAAATCATAGTGACATAGTTATAACTTGCTAGCATTTCAAGTGCCACCTGTATTTCTGTATTGTGACAATTTTATTTTTTATTACCAGTGCATACTCATCATGTAAAAGCAAGAAAAGAAAATTGGACTTTGAATGTTGCACTCTTAGGGCACGATGGAGTGTAGATTTTATTATCAAAACACAAAGCCTTGTGTTATTATGCAATGACATTATAGCTATACTAAAAGAATACAAATATACAGTGACATAACTATACTAAGCACTCATCATGATATTCTCAACTCACAGACAAGCAGTGATCAGAAAATTAGAACATTTAAAATGGAATATCTCATTGTAGCAAAATTTCTTCATAAAAATAAAAAGTAAAAATGGGACTTCAACCAAAGTAAATTTTTGAGTGGCTTATTTGTGAAGCAAAGAAAGCCACTTACCAATGGCGAATTAATTAAATTATGTTTGATTGCTGCAGCTGAAGAAACATGTTCTTAGAAAATATATTTGGCTAGTAAACTTTGGCAAGAGCAATGCTTGAAGAATTGAGAACTTTGGAAGCAACATAGTCAATTTAAAAACAAGACAAATTATTTCAAGTGATCTTTCTTGGCTCTTGATGAGTTGACAGATGTTACAGATACTACTCAATTGTAGTTTTTTTGAAGAGTCAATACTGTGCTTAAGGTGACTAAAGAATTAGTCTTTATGAAAAGTCTGTAGAACAACTGGAGAGAATATTTTTGAAGTTGAAAAAACAAACACTTTCAATACAACCTGAAGTGGAATCTGCTAAGATGTAACTATTGGTAGTAAAAATATTTGTGAAGCAGGAAAAGGCTTAGCTGGATTCATTTACAAAGCTTGTGAAACTATAAAGTGTTTGAATGATGTGGTTATTCACTGTGTTATTCAAGTTTTTATTATGATATTTTGTGCTCAGAGCCCAGATTGAAATTTTTCTGAGAAGAACCACCTTCAAGCACTGTCTGTTATTGAACACTGGCTTTGGAAGTTAGCTTTTGCTGCAGACTTGATAATGGTTCTTAATGAATTTAACCTAAGATTGCAAGACAAAACAATCCTGTCTGTGAAACCTATGATACCATAAAGCATTTAGAAAACAAATAACATTGTAATGACAAAAAGTAAGTTTTTAAAAAGTGCTATGAAAACTTAAAACAATGAGCAAGATCTTCATTCCACACAAATTTGTTACAGATACATTATTTGAGCTCAAACTACAGTTTCAGCCGTTTTTTTCCAGAGGTTACACAAGTATAAAGGAAATTTCTATATTTCATAATCTATTTAACTGTACAGTTGAGGGGCTTCCACTAATCTTCAATCAGAAGTGATTAATTTATCATGTAATTACATGATAAAAGGCAAATATCAAGAGAAAAACCTGAAGTATTCTATAAATGCCTTCCAAACAATAAATATGCTCAATTAAAATCTCTTGCTTGTAGATTGATTTCAGTATTTAGAAGTACCTATCTTTATGGAAAAACATTTTCAAAAACGAAAATATGTAAAATCTCATTAAAAACATCATTAACAGATTAAAATTGACAATCAGTATGATGATAGGGAACACTAACTTTGAACCTCAGCTAAGTGAAATATTATTCCACCACCCAAAAAGAAAATGATTCCATTCTTTTCATTGGTAAACCCATGTTACAAAAAATTTAGCTCAATTATTATATTTGAATTTTGTCAATAAAAGTTTTGTAGAAATTTCTATTTTGCTTTAAAAATACATACTTGATTTTGCCTTTTGGTTCATACAGGCTAAATTATTTGCTGTCTGGCCCTTTGCAGAAAAAACTTGTTGACCTCTGGATTAAAGGATAGATATTTGGCTTTGTCTTATCTAACTATTCTCTTTAAAAATGAAAATAACAATGTCAGATTTTTCCACCCTTTAGTAATAAGTCTGCTAGCTTATTAAAGACTACTTAATATATTTTGAAAAAATATTTTTATATTAAAGTTATCTTTTCTATAAGTTTGTAGTTCTTTGGATTTTTATGTAAATAATATACTTTGAATTGGATATTCAGATGTTTGCTACCCCAGAACTTCAATGAAGAGATAATTTTATTTATAAATTCAATTAAACATTAAGAACAATTTAAGTTCTCTTTGATAATATGTTTAAATCAAGGTATGACTCTTCTTTCCAGCTGGAATAGTATTCTTATTTCTACTAGTTATATATTTTTAGCTAAAAACTAGAGACGTTAAATAAATTTGTAAAGTATTTGACAGTATTTCTAGAGAAAAACTAGAAACCCAAAATACATTTGTAAAACAGACATTGACATTCATAAGTTAAATTTTTTATTGATTCTTTACCATGCCAACCTAAATAAGCAGGCAAATCTTGGAAATGTTTAATTTTTTTCTTCCAATTTTATTTATTTTTGTTACAGATGTTTCTTATTTTTGCCCCCTAAACCCCCTCCATCTCTCCCTCCCAAAAAAGTTTAATTTTGAAAAGCAATTAGTATTCCTTTTCAAGTTCCTCCTCAGGTATAATACTACAGATTTTCAAAAGATTTTTTTTATTAGTGCTCATTATCTTGAAGGTTGAATAACTTAATAAAATATTTTATACACTTATTTTCTTATAAACAAAGAGAACATTTTTATTACCAATGTATAAAAAGATTTGGTATTAATTTTAGAAGTTTGGATGGGATGTTGAAAGGAAGGAAAAATAATAGTAATGTTTCTAAAAACATTAGAAAATATATATATATTAAATATGTTCTTATTTATTTTTTTAGAGAGAGAGGAAAAGAGAGAAAGAGAGATAGAAACATTGATGTGAGAGAGAAACATCGATTAACTGCCTCCTTTATGCCCCTTGCCAGGGATTGAGCCCTGAACCTGGGCATATACCCTGACCTCGAATTGTACTGGGACTTCTCAGTCCGTGGGATGATGCTTAATCCACTGAGACATACCAGCTGGGCAATAGATATATTTTTAAATTTGGAAAGTTGTTGTAGTCTATGTTAAGGCAATTTTTTCTCTGCTTAGCTTATAACATATAATATAGGCAAAAATATGAAATATATATGAATAAAGATTGAGATCATTCTTATCTGTGCACATCAGTGAGAAGTACTAAATGAGAAAGTTTTCTAACAGTTGCTTAATATGTATCATTTGGGATGATTTATTCTTAAATCTAGGTATCTTAATATCTGATTTAGCTTTGATTTAAATCTTCTTTTCTAGATGAAGCATTGGATGATTTAAAATCCCAGAAGAAAAAAATAGTAAGTTAACTTTTATTTAAATTTAATTTATGTAAAATTAATAAATTAAGAACTAGATAATTAATGTTTATATGTTATAAGTAATGACTCTCAGAAAAACAAATATCCTTTTAGATAGTATTATAATGATGAAGCTGAATTATGAATATTTTTGCTAGTTAATAATGATTGACAGGAAAAAGTAGTTAAATGGACTTTGGAGATCCTGGAAGCTGAGAAGTAAGTAAATGAATCATATTGGAGGACTAAATAAGGCAGAGGGATAAAAAGGTGGGTGTCCGGATTGATTATTTATTAGGGCCATAAAAGGACCAAACATTTACATGTCAGTTCTTAGGTTTTCTTAATACGATAAGGCTAGGAGAGATCAAGAAGATTGGTTGTAAAAGACAAATTTAATGTGAAAAGACTGAAGAAAAGGGGAGAGAGAGATACTTTTTCTCTTTGATTTCTTTCATTTTCTATCTGCTACTCTGATTACTTGGGAAACTATTGTGGGGCAAGTTAAATGCATCCTTTGGATATCTTAGAAGAGGAGGGCCAAGGGTAAGAGAAAGGGCCCTAGATAGATAGTTAGAGGTTGATATATAATAGTCTCTAATAAATGAATTCAACTTGGCTTTGGCTTGAATTTACATGTACTTTATTCGTGTAATTATATATGAAGTATGAAAATGATAGTTGATAGCCCTATCGTATTATATGAAAACTGATTTAATAAAATTTAATTAGATGCAAATGATAAATATATTTTACTCTATGTAACAATTATGTACTATGTAACAATTATGTATGAAACTAATAAAAATTATTATGGTTAAGTTTAATGTTAAAAATTGTTCTCTGAATTGGCAATAAAAGACATTGATCTTAAGGGTTTCAAGTACCAGAAAAATAAAGAAACATAAATTTTGAAAGGCTTTCTTATCTGTTTTGTTTAATATTTCTTCATTGTTATATGAGGAATTTATCAAAATTGCACTTAAATTTTGGTAGTCCTAAACTGAAACATAGAAATATTTCCTTTTTTTTTTTTTTTAATCCTCACCCGAGGACATTTTTTTCTATTTTCTGTTCAGATAGAGTGGGAGGGAGAGAGGAAGAGAGAGAGAGAGAAACATCGATGTGAAAGGGACACATCGAGTGGCTGCCACCCCCATGACCTAACCAGGGCCGGGGACAAACTGCAACCAAGGTACGTGCCTTAGTGGGAACCGAACCCAGATCTCTCTGGACCGCAGGGAGACGCTCTAACCGCTGAGCCAAACCGGCCAGGGTCCATTGTTTTAATTTGCATTTCTTTGATGATTCATGACAATGAGCATTTGTTCATATGTCTCTTGGTCATTTGTATGTCCTCTTTAGAGAAGTGTCTATTCATAAACTCTGCCATTTTTTAATTGGATTGTTTGTCATCCTTCTGTTGAATTGTATGAGTACTTTATATATTTTGAAAATTAACCCCCTGTTCTATGTATCATTGGCAAATATGTTCTCCCATACAGTGAATTCCCTTTTCATTTTGATGCTGGTTTCTCTTGCTGTGCAGAAACTTTTTAGTTTGATTTAGTCCATTTATTAATTTTTTCCTTTGTTTATCATGCACTTGGTGATGTATTGGTGAAAACTCTGCTATGTATGATGCCTGAGATTTTGCTGCCTACATTTTCTTCTAGGACTTGGATGTACTCATGAGTTACAGTTAGTTATTTTATCCATTTTGAATTTATCTTTGTGTATGTGTAAGTGGTGGTCTAGTTTAATTGTTTTGCATATACCTGTCCCAGTTGTCCCAACACCATTTATTGAAGACACTGTCTTTACTCTATTGTATGTTCTTATTTCCTTGGTCGAATATTAATTGAGCATGATGTCTTGGGTCGATTTCTGGGTTCTGGGTTCCATTCCGTTGATCTGTATACCTATTTTTGTGCCAGTACCAGGCTGTTTTGATTATGATGGCTTTGTGTATAACCTGATATCCAGTGTTGTGATCCCTCCAACTTTGTTCTTCTTTTTCAACATTGCTGTGGCTGTTTGGGCTCTTTTTTCATTTCATATAAACTTTTGGAGTATTTGTTCTAGATCTGTGAAATATGCCATTGGTATTTTAATAGGGTTTACATTGAATCTATAGATTGTTTTGGGTTGTGTGGACATTTTAATGATGTTGATTCTTTCAATCCATGAACAGGGTATGTTTCCACTTTTCTACGTTTTCCTTTTTTTCTTTTTTCAATGTCTTGTACTTTTATGAGTATAGATCTTTTATCTCCTTGGTTAAGTTTATTCCTAGGTATCTTAATTTTTTGTTGCAATGGAAAATGGGATTTTTTTAAGTTTCTTTTTCTGAGTGAGGTATTACTTCACACCTTCCAGAATGGCTGCATCAACAAATCATCAAACAGCAAGGGCTGGAGAGGAGGTAGGGTACTCTAGTGCACTGCTGGTGGGAATGCAGACTGGTACAGTCACTATGGAAAACAATGTGGCATTTCCTCAAAAAATTAAAGATGGAACTGCCATTTGACCCAGTGATCCCATTCCTAGGTATATATCCTAAGAAGCCTGAAACACCAATCAGAAAAAATATATGCATCCCTGTGTTCATATTTACAATAGCTAAGATCTGGAAGCAGCCCAAGTGTCCATCAGTGGATGAGTGGATAAAAAAGCTGTGGTACATTTACACAATGGAATACTGTACAGCTGTAAGAAAGAAAGATCTCTTGCCCTTTGAGACAATATGGAGGGACCTGGAGAGTATTATGCTAAGTGAAATAAGCCAGTCAGAGAACAGGAAGTATCACATGATGTCACTTATTTGTGGAGTATAATGAATAAAATAAACTGAGACATGGAAGTAGGGAACAGACTGACAAACCTCAAAGGGAAGGGCATTCAGGGGTGGGAAGAGAGAAACCAGAGAACTTACATGCATTTATGCATAACCAATGGACACAGACAACAGTGTGGTGAAGACAGAGGGGGCAAGAGTGGGGATGAAAGTGTTATGGGGGGGGGGGGGAATGAGGGACATCTGTAAGACTTTTAACAATAAAGATAAAAAACAAAAACAAAAAAACGGTGACCTAGAAATCAAAGGAAATGGGGGGTGGGGGGTGGTGGGAGATGACTAAACCGTAACAGAGATCTCAGCAAAGATGAACAAAAAGAAGAGTTGTCTGCCTGGCCGGGCTCATTGGTTGAGCATTGACCCATGTACCAAGAGGTCACTGGTTTGATTTCCCATCAGAGCACATGCCCACGTTGTTTGTGGGCCTGATCCCTAGTGTGGGGCATGTGGGAGGCGGCTGGTCAATGTTCTCTCTCATTGATGTTTCTGTTTCTCTCTCCCTCTCCCTTCTTTCTCTAAAATCAATAAAGAAAAAAATATTAAAAAAAAAAAAAAGTTGTCACCCTGGCCGGTTTGGCTCAGCAGTTAGAATGTTGGCCTTCAAATCAAAAAGTTGAGGGTTTGATTCCAGTCAGGGGCACATACCTCAGTTGCAGTTCCATCCCTGGCCCTGGTTGGGATCATGTGGGAGGCAGCCAATCAATGTGTCTCTCTCACATTGATCTCTCTCTCTCTCTTTCTCTCTCTCTCCCTCCCTCCCTCCCACTTCATCTGAAAATCAATGGAAAAATATCCTTGGGTGAGGATTAAAAAAAAAAGTACAGTTTTCAGGAAAAGAAAATATATTTTCGTTGTATTATGTTTCTGACATTTTGTGCATTATGGAGCAGCCAGAATTCAAAGTGAGGAAATGATTCACTGATATGTGGAATCTAAAGAACCATATAAAGGAATAAATAAAACAGAAACAGACTCATAGATAAGGAGAACAGATTGATATTGCCAGAGGGGAGGAGGGCCGGGTAAAGGGATTAAGACATACAGATTAGCAGTTATATGAGGATGAAGAGTGAAGCATAGGAAATATAGTCAGTATTGTAACAACTATTTACATATGAAACCAGGTTGGTACTGGAAATATCAGGGGTGGCACTTTGTAAAGTATATGATTGTCTAACGGTTCTCAATCTTCCTAATGCTGTGACCCTTTAATATAGTTCCTCATATTGTGGTGACCCCCAACCATAAAATTATTTTTGTTGCTACTTCATAACTGTAATTTTGCTACTGTTATGAATTGCCATCGGAAATGTGTTTTCCGATGGTCTTAGGCGACCCCTGTGAAAGCGTTGTTCAACCCCCAAAGGGGTTGCGACCCACAGGTTGAGAACCACTGGCACTCTAACCACTATGCTGTACACCTGAAACTAATACAAAATAATATTAAATGTAAACTTTAATTGAGAAAAAATAACAAAGTGAGGAGAAACTGGTGGTTCTTAGCAGTATAGATGTTGTGATATGATTAGTTTGGTTTTTTGTTATGATAAAAAAAAAAGCTGGTAGTAGTAGTCAGAGCCAAGCCCTACATGTACTGAAATAGAGAAATATTGATTAAAGTAGAAAAGACAAGGAGGGAGACAAAAGAAAAAAGAAGAAAATAAAAAATTCCAAGTGATGAGAAACCATCCTCATGTTAGTGGCATCCCATCACCAGAAAACAGAATCTTGGAGAACACACGATTGGGGAAAAAACTCAATAGGGTAAAGAGTAGACTTGAAAAATTCTGCAAAAGGGCAAGGCAAGCTATTTGCTACTTCTTTAATAGCTCTTGAAGGACTCACAACATAAAAGATGCTTCATCTAGGCCCGACAGTTGGGAAATTCAGTTCAGGGTTCAATAGTTGTGAATATCAAAATGGTTCACGAAGAATCAGCATCACAGAATAGTTCAGCATGACATTTTTCTTGCAGTACGATTAAAGGAAAGTAAGTTGGCTGTTCTAACTCACTTTATTAATTAGGGAACACAATTTTCATGACTTGACTATTGCTGGTTATAACACTGTTGCTACTGGGACTAGTCCCTGGCCTTTATTGCCCAAGCCCTTAACAAAGCTGCTTTGTGAGTAGCTTTACACT